TGTGATGAAGAATGTCCTATTCGATATTATTTCTCGCTTCCCGCTTTGATACACACTAGGGCCCGACTGATGGACTTTAAGCTTAGCCGATGGAGCTGAAAATGTACGTAATATCCACACACCCATCGTTTTGTTAAGCGTGGTTGAACAGCCACATATATAGCAATTATACCTGCGACCAGCGATCATCGGGGTCCAAGCACTTCTTTGTAAATGCCCCTTAATTTGCAAATAACAGTGGGGTTTGTGTGTAAATTTCATGTGAATCGGATGAACCGTCTAGGGTGAGTCTGAACGAGTTGCATGTTATGCAAATCAGCTCTGAATGTAGCTACGTATAGCATACAATTAGTCCCAGAACGCACCGTTTATTCATATTCAGGGAATCGGTAAAAAAAAAAAAAATCATTTTGAGAACTCGCAGGTCAGGATTCTAATAATGCAGGCTTCCAGTAGCATGAATGCTTACTATACTCTGCTCTTACTGTATCCTGTATGTATAGGAGTGTGGGTCCTAACGATGCCACAGGTGTCCAATAGATTATAATTACAACTCGCAAATGAAACGAGTCACCGTCTTCTACCTGCTGTCAGTGGTCATTCAATATCGCTTCGTGTTTATGAATGTCGTTTTCCTGTAGGACATTACAGGTGCGTTATAGGATATATCGGTCGGGTCCTAATACACACGTTTGTTCTCTTTTTGTGTTTTTGGTTTTTTTTTCTCCATGGTTGTGTCATGTTTTTGCTTGCGAGTCTCATGCTATCCTCAGGTTCAGCTTCCGTCGTGTTCTTCATGCTGTTGAGATCAATGCTGCAATAAATATCTACCTTTTCAGCCACGCCTGGGTCGTCCCTTCTGCTCTTCAGAAACAGATTCCGAGTTTGCCCGCTGATTAAATCCATAAATGAGATCAATGAGAGAAGCACGCTGTAGCGCGCCGATAGGAAAGACGGTTATTGGGGAGAGTGTAATCGAAAAACATCGTAAGACGTTGGCCAAACTACACGCTGTTCGCTAATCATCAACACAAACGTCTTGCCATTGGTTCGTTATAGACGTGTTCCAAATCACGGTTTTCACTGTGTACTGTAAGCAGCATAAACACCATCGCAAATGTCTTCCCATTGGGGGATGTGTCCCAAACCACGATATTCACTATATAAACATCAATAAAAGCATCTTGACGTTCATAACGTAGCTGCCGCCTAAACTCCATCCTAAATGTCTCTCCCTGATCGGCCTGATTCGGTTACGTTCCACGCCGCGTAGTCAGTAAAGGTCACAAACCCACCATGGAATTGGCGACACCTCTGTAATAATGTTTATGTCCCCTTTATAGTGAACAGGCCACATCGCCCCACGTAAACACCCATACACGTGTCACGCCACTTTCCCAACCACGAACCGTATTCACTATCTAGGCCACATAAACGTCGTCACGCTGGATGCTATACTGTGGGAGTGTCCCAAACCACAAAGCTTTCTTTGTAGGCAACATACACCCCGCTGTAAGTAAGCAATGAGCTAAACCATACACGGCACACACACACACCATTTAGGACACATCCACAGTGTTTATGTGGTCGAGATACAGTATGAACGTACGTACAGTTAGAGCAATGTAGTGAATCTATGTTAACATTGGGGCATGGAATCTTGCCATGATGGTCTCACGCACGTACGCACGCACACATGCCGCGATAGGAGACGTTTCAAGGTGAATCGTTGTTGCCTTGACAACTACCGCCGACTCCCAGGTTGCCTGGGAATGTGTGATGTCAATGCAAAGCAGTCAGCCCTTGTCCTTTTTCCCTGTAGTTTGTGTACACACACACACACCCTATCTGCTTTGACATCATGGAGAGAAGCAGAATCATCAGGGAACGAAGTTGTGACTTGTACCGTCAGGGTGGAGATGAAGAGAAAGAATGTGTGCTTTACATACTGGCGTTGACCTTTACGCCTCACCAAGATGCCTCCAGACGGCAAATCTAGCGTCCATGCAGAGGTGTGTGTGTGTGTGTGTGTGTGTGTGTGTGTATATATATATATATATATATATATAGCGCTTAAGTAAGGAAGGAGTCTCCAGTGTCAGTGCTTCATAACTGTGGTAAATTTTCGGTTTTCCGAGTTTACGCTTCGCGGTTTCTCCGTACCATGACAACCTGCGATTTTTTATTTTTTATTTTTTGTCCTATTCAAGCGAACGAAGACGTTAGTGAGGGAGCGACAGTTTTTTGCCGCTATAACATAAGTGATGGGAGGAACTATCTAAAAGTAAGCGTGACTAGAAATGGAGAAAAGAGTACGAAAGAACAGTCGCAGAGTTCAAAGTCACAAATCTCTTTGTTTGTTTGTTTTTGCATAAGGAAATCACATTTATGCAAAAAAAAAAAAACGTTCAATGTTTGTCGTCTGATCTTTTGCCCTGGACCTACAGCTAACAAGTAATGGGGGGAGGGGGACAGTAGCGGTGGTCTGTGTTGACAGATTTATTTTGGAGTCAAATCGTATTATTTGCAAAAACTACCGGCTTTTTGGAACAACTCCACCTCCAAAGTTTGACAGGCGGCTCGTCTTCACGACGAAGTGCTGTGGGTTGTCCGAGATGGCCGCCACCACATGCTACCGAAGACGTCTATTGTGCGTTAGCTACTTTCGCATCGTAGAGTCAGTGCGACACTAATCTATCGAACCACCACCACACTGAGGCTTTTCATCTGTAAAAGAGACCTTAATCTCATTGTTGTGGTTCATGAGCTGAGGCTTTACACACTCGTTCGTAAAAGGTTATGAGCGCATGGAAACAAATTACACCGAGGGCTGAAAGGTTTCATATTAAATGAAGAGGGAAATAAAAAACCTGAATGGAACCTTTTAGTTGTAAAGTGTGTGAACTGGATTTTCATACACTACTTCTTCTTCTTCTCTTCTTCTTCTTCTTTTCTTCCTCTTCTTCTTCTTCTTCCTCCTCCTCTTCTTCTTCTTCCTCTTCTTCTTTTCTTTTCTTATTCTTCCTCTACTTCTTCTTCCTCTTCTTCCTTCTCTTCTTCTTTTCTTCCTCTTCTTCTTCCTCTTCCTCTTCTTCCTCTTCCTCTTCCTCTTCTTCTTTTCTTTCTCTTCTTCTTCTTATCTTTTCTTTCTCTTCTTCTTTTCTTCCTCTTCTTCTTTCTCTTCTTCTTCTTCTTCTTCCTCTTCTCTTCTTTCTTCCTCTTCTTCTTCCTCCTCCTCTTCTTCTTCTTCTTCTTCTTCTTCTTCTTTCTCCCCCTCTTCTTCTTTTCTTCCTCTTCTTCTTCTTCTTCCATTTCTTCTTCTTCTTCTTCCTCCTCTTCTTTTTCCTGGCCATATTTATGGCATGAACGCCGTTGCACTGTTCTCCTTCCATGTGCTGTTGAAGGCTGTCATCTATTTTTTGTTTGTTTGCCAGCCCACTCATTGCTTCTATTTATATTTCCATTTGAATCTCCTTCATTCATCATCTTATCTCCGTCGAGCTGCTGCTATTCAGATGCTTAAAAAACCCTCACAAAAACACAACAGCCCACGGACACTTTACTAATTTAACAAACAGCCGTGACGGCGTTCCACTAAAACTGTCTATCGTGATTTACGTTTCAAAGCGGAAAAATAATATTTATGTAAGAAAAAGCTGCAGCTTGTTAGCAAAAGGACACGTCTTCTGTGTCTTTAGTAAAAATGAACTAATAAGGTAGACGATGGAGCGGAGATGCCGTTATAGGGGAAACGATCAACTATGGAGTGGTGTGATGTGGGAAATTACTATTACGACCCATAGGTTGATTATTTTCCGTATACACACAGCAATTTCCCATTTAAAAACAACAACAAAAAAAGATGAATAAATCACGTTGTTGTAGTTTTTAACAGTTTTTATCTATGTTTAATATCGTAGAACGTCTGCAAAGGCCCGGTTATCGTTAAGCGATATCGTACGTGCCGATATCCGGTACAACCGCATGCTTGTTAGTGCGATACCACTTTCATGCGACAGTCCTATAAACAAGAAATGAATAGTAAAAAAGTCATTCGGACACAGTTTGGCCGAACGTCCCGTTTTATTTTGCGTCAGTTAGCTGTCTAGCTATAACTGACTTACAATGATTCCGGAGTCTTGCCATGTCAACGATTCTACGTTTTTCTCTTTTTATGCAAATCATCACGTGGCACGTACAATCCCTTAATATAAACTCAGCAGAGGAGTAACGTGCAGTCAGTGTGAACAATAAAGGTATAAGGAAAGGCAGAGAGCATTGTTACTGAAAGCTGAATGTATTATTTTTTTATTGTTTTTAGGAGGGAGGGGTATTTTAGAGACAGCAGACTTAAAAATACATTATATTACAGCTTGCAAATATCTTTTCACTGACTGTCTGGTGAGTACTAAAACAAAACGACGACAAAGAATACCCACTGTGTGCTTTTTTGTATCCGTGTCTTTTGGTGCCATCTGCTGTGCAGAGAGAGAAACTGCTCTTAACCATATAGTCTCATCATATCCAGTCACACATTTACCTCACTCTTTCACGTCCGTTCCAGCATTTTATTGGCCAGAAGATAATGTACAGAGTTATAGACGTCACCATGTCATATTCTGATGGTTCTTCTTCTTCTTCTCCTTCTTCTTCTTCTTCTTCTTTTCCATCCATCCATCTTCTACCGCTTACTCCTTTTCAGGGTCGTGGGGAACCTGGAGCCTATCCCAGGGAGCATCGGGTACAAAGCGGGGTACACCCTGGACAGAGTGCCAGTCCATCGCAGGGCACAATGTAGAGAGTTATAGACATCACCAAAATGTCATATTCTGATGGTTCTTCTTCTTCTCCTTCTTCTTCTTCTTCTTCTTATTATTATTAATTTCAAGAAGCATGTTTTCTTTTTTGTCATGTTTAGACTTGATAGCGGATCTAAGTTGTTCTAATCTGGATTCGTGGGTGGACGAAAGAAAATAAGGGCATGTTAATTTTAATTCATATCCACGGTGGTTTAGTGGTTGGGACGTCCGCCTCACACCTCCAGGGTCGGGGGTTCGAGTCCCGCCGTGGCCCTGTGTGTGCGGAGTTTGCATGTTCTTCCCGTGCTGCGGGGGTTTCCTCCGGGTACTCCGGTTTCCTCCCCCGGTCTAAAGACATGCATGGTAGATTGCTGATTGGCGTTCCCAAAGTGTCCGTAGTGTATGAATGGGTGTGTGAGGGTGTATGTGATTGTGCCCTGCGACGGACTGGCACCCTGTCCAGGGTGTACCCCGACCCTGAAAAAGAGTAAACGGTAGAAGATGGATGGATGGATGGATAGTCTTATGCTTTATGCAGTGACAGTTAATCATCAGTTTTGTTGTGTGTGTCCTCAAGGACAGGTCTCAAGGTCATTGGTCACAGTTCAACATGGACATACATAGTGTACGCAGGGCACAATGTAGAGAGTTTACAGCCGGGCTTCTGTGGAGGTCATTAAAAACTGAATGATTTGGGAAAAGAAAGCTAAAGAAACCGCTCTTTCTGTTTAAATTCCTTCCCCCCCTCCCCCTCTCTCTCTCTCTCTCTCTCTCTCTCTCTCTCAATTAGCTGATTAGTTGACTCAGGTGTGTTAGAGCACAGGAAACAGGACCATTCTCCAGAAGGAAGGGAAGCTGTGCTGTGTAGCAGAGTGGGAGTGAACTGAGGGGAGGTCTGCTCAGCACTGATGAGGTGTGTCATGAGGAACAGGTGAGACGTGATGATTAATCAGTCAAGTTTCGTCGGCGTCTCTTCTCTTCTCTTCACTCTCATTTCATCCATGACCGAAACGTAACTCGGGTAATATCTCCCCCGAAACTAACAGAAGTGTCAAATTCAACTCATTTATACGCGTTAATTCCAAAACCGGGTTAAAATCACAGACCGGAAGCGCAGCTGAGAGACACATCCGGTGTGGGCCTGAGGTAAGAAAATGGCGGACGGTTCACTATGTGGAAGGACAAACAAGCTAAAGAAATATCCAAAGTATAGGCCAATTGAACTAATCTGTCTGATTTATTAAAGTGTTTTAAGAGATTATAAAGTCTGTTTGGGCGTTCCCCTCCCCCGTCAGTTCAAGCTTAAAGTGAGTTTAGCAGATAACTTTGAGTATTTCGGTCCTTTATTTCTAGAAAGGAGCGGTTTTATTTGTTATTAATTGTCTAGTTTCCGTCCAGTTATCTCGTGATAAGACATATTAGAAAGTTTTCATGTACTTGTTAAGTTGTTTGTTTTTTGTTTTTGTTTTTTTATTAAAAATTGTTTTTCTTTACTCTACAGTAGTTTTCAGAACGGTTTGTTTGTTGTTAATAGGGATTATTGGATATTAGTAGAACAGGACGTGATGGGTTTGTCTTTACACTTAATCACGTGTGTATGTTTAACTCTGCCTGACTTTAACTCCTTGTTTAGAGAGATGCAACGCATTAAGGTAAGGAATACGGCACGGCAGGTCATGCTGGGATGGTGTGATTGATTGATTGTGTTCCTATAACTGAAAAAAAAGATTTGATTCTGCTTGTACCACAGCGATTTACAATGTTTCATTTAATGAATGAATGACATGATTGTAAAAAAAAAAACAACAACCAAACAAACAAAAAAAACCCCACCTGATTTCCTCCTTTAAACATCCAATGGAGTATCCACTATCCATCTCAATGTAAGTTCTATTAATTTAGTCCAAATTTATACTGCGGTTACTTTCATGGAAAAGGACTCGTGCGAATGTTGTATACATTCGAACCGGGAACCGCCATGCAGTTGGATTTCATATCGAACATTTTTACGCAAGACCATGTTAGAAAATAATTACATAAAAAATAAAAAACTCCCACAGGTAGTCACGTAAGCATGGACACTTTGTATTAACTTGTTTTTGAGACCCAAACTTTTTATGTAAATGTAGTCATTTCTGGTTATTTTTTATTTATTTTTTTTTCCCCCACTGTTGGATACAATTGGTGAGATATAAACGGTTCTTGGTAGTGGGCTCGGACTTACGGACCCTGCTGTAGTGTTGAATTGTAACTGCTAAAATAAAGTAAACATCTCCAGGGTTTCCATGTCCAAGTGTGTACTCGTTAAGCACAGAAACCGATTTCTAAGTTCATTGAAAGAAAATAGCCTGAAGGGCTGTGTGTTCAGATAAACCGAAGATTTGAACAATACGTTTGCATTAATAACGGTAGTGTAAAAATTGGTTAAGGAACAATTCTCTTTGGGCTGATTGATTGATTAGATTTTGATTCTTAATGACTGGCTGTATGTTTCATTTGAAAAGCTAGAAATGTTCTACTTTCTAGAGCTTGCACTGAGCTGATTCCCGAGACCCGTATAAATGTTCTGTGTTTCTTGAGAATTCAGTGTCCAAATCTACTTGTTCCATGCTCCGTTTAGCAAGTTTGTGTATCCATGAGGTTAGGGTTTGGAGGGAGAAAAAGACACAACAATAACTGAAGTTTATTGATTTGATTTTATGCAAAAAAAAAATTAAATAATCAGAAATACAGAATTTATTATTAAAAAAAAAAAAAAGCTGAGTCGTGCGTAAAAATTAAGACATTCGGCTGCTTTCCCGACATGACGCGTTTCAGACTCGTCCAATCGTTGACAGGGTTCGGCTGAGGTTTACTAGAGATGTATGCCAAAGATTAAACAAACGCAAACCAGTGATGTAATAACTATGTACACAGGGACCTGTACAGTGGACGAAAATGTCGTTGATGTAATAAGATGGTTCCTGTTTACGATAATGGTGTCGTCGATTTTATATTGTTTGAATATTTTGAACACAATCTTAATGAAGAATTTTCTGAACAGACTTTTTTTTTTATTTATTATTTCTGTTTATAAAAGGTTTAACATTGATCAAATGTACTACATGTTCAATATATAAAAAGATATAAATTGATCAATTCTTCTCAAAATTAATTAATTGTAAGCACTTGTTTTTCAAATGATTTTCCATGCCAACGTTCCCAGTTTCTAGTGTCGCGCTGTCTGGAAAGCAGGGTTGTAAGGCAGGTTTCGCTACATACAGCCAGGGCAAGAAAGAATCGTTACTTGCTACGTTTACATTTCAGTTACGTTGACGGTTCTTTCTTTCCTTACGCTGCTAAACGAACAGAAAGTGCACCTTGATATTTACGTTACATTCTAAAGTCACAGTAATGTGCGAACTCTCCAAAATGAATACAATGCCATATTGCAGATTTAAAAAAATAAATAAATAAATAAAAAATAAAGGTACCCTATAGAAGATTTTATGAATTTACAATGATAAATGATTACTACTTCATAGTAGTTAGCATTGCCTAAAAAAGGAAGGTGTAGTTCCTGTAATATCTGAGGTAAAAGATGAACGTTCAATAACCTACAGCTTGAACAATGAAATGAAAATAGAAGACGAAAATGGGAACTAGCTCTATTGATTGTCATTAAAAAAAAAAAACATGCCCAAAAAACCTGTTAGGAATTGCTGATCTGCTAGAAAATGATGTAATCTGAGATGCTATTAAAATAGTATAGCAATTCCGTTTGGGATTTTAAGGCCGTAGCAAATGATGATCCCAGTGAGCACTCGAATGTTTTTAAAAGACGTGAGTAAGGTAGAGGTCGCGATAACGAGGTGTTAAAATGACGTTCTATCTCGACAAGCTTCAACGTTAAAATAATGAGATATTAAGTCCAACTAACTATTAGCAGCACATTTGTGTATGTATATAATTTCTTTCTTTCTTTATTTATTTTTCTTTATTTATTTTTATTTATTTTGTTCACGGCTTTTGTACAACACAAATTGGATCCAGAAAGGAAGGGTGTTAATTAGAAGGCAGATGGACGTCACTGTCCAGTGGGTGCTCACTGGGATAAAAACACAGCACCATGGGATTTAATCACATTATTGTTCTTCACAAATATCCATCACGGTCTGAACGGCGTGCGAACCTGAAGAGTCCAGGAGACACTGATCGCGTCACGGCACAGGACGTTAAATAAATACAGTAGCTTGCACTCACAAATATGGAATGTTCCTTCTAATCCCTGAGGATTTTTATACGGAATATAGTCCGACCGGAAAGCTAACAGAACGAGGTTTTCAGTTGTATCCCAAACTCGTGTTTTAACAGAAGTCCTCGCTAGAACTCCTTCTGAGAAGTCATGATTTCCCGGGGACTTCTTGCTAGTCAGATTTTGCACAGGGCAAGCTTATTCAGTAGGAAGCGGAGAGCGTGCTAATTAATTGCCTAACTTGTGGTTAGCAGTCAAGACCAGTCTTTTCACTACTAGTAGCTGTATTCACCTACCAAGCTGACTGTATGAGAGCTAAACATTGCATGAAGAAAATTATTTGGCTAATATGTGGATCGGAATTAAGACCAGTCCTCTTTAAATGTGTTTTAAATAATGGATGAAGATCCCTGATAGTTTCTTTGAACTTATTTTTAACTGGAACGTTCCAGGGAGTTACTCGGCCATGTTAACTACGTGCTCTAACTGAAGCTAATCCATAGCTAGCTAGTTAGCAAGACTCTGTCTGAGGTAATATTTATCTATAAAGTTCAAGGGTAGCTTTACGAGCCGTAGTAGCTTTATTTTCCAGACTACAACTAACGGGCACCAAACGAAACGCTACAGTTTGATCGAATTTGTTCTTTTTGCCGTCTCTTTGGGGATGTAGAAAAGATGTCTAGATTTAAATAAAATAAGGTCTATGCAGGAGCCAGCTCAAGGTAAGCGAGGACCGATTCAAAGCAGACAAATGGCAGTGTATTTATACGTAGCATTGTCACCAACTCGGCTAATTAGCGTGTAGGGCTGGGCAATACTTTTTACTGTACAATGTTAACGGATTTTGTTTTGCCTCCTTTTCATTGCTATCCTCTTCTTTTATAGATTTTATAGACAAACTCTGATTTTTCTTCCCGAACAAAACCCAAAACTACGGTTTGGTAGCAGCTTGCTGACCGTGCCGAAGCGTAAGGTGTGTGTGTGTGTGTGTAGTATTATGGCTTCTAGTATACCGCCATGTATATATTCGCCATGTAAT